CCCCCCCCCCCCTTTTTTTTTGCCACCCCTTGAAAAATTTTAAGGCAACCCCCCCCCCCCCCCCAGTTATTATGTCAACAATTCTTAACCACCCCCCCCCCTCACCCTTTTAAAAAAGGAATTATAATATAAATAAATATATAAATACATTTTAATTTGTGCTGATCTATTTTAATGTAAATGACACTAAATTGTAGGGAAAAATTTTTATTGCATCTTCATCTGTAGCTTGTTAATCATCAACTATTTTAATTTATATTCATCAAATTTGTTAAAATAATGTTTTATATATATATTATATATATATATATAAAACGAAAGTGGCAAGAGTGCCATTGGTCCAAAACTAGTTCATGCCCGACAAGCGGTATATGACTACAACTATGGTCAATATGTAGTCGTCTAAAGTATTGATGACTAGCTGCAAAAAGAGGCCCTATATTTTATTTATTTATTATGTGCCGTTTTATTAATGATACATTTCTTAAATGATGAAGTTATTCAATTCTCATCAATAAATTTGGAATTTAATTTTTGTTAAAAATATGTATTTAATTTCAACTCTTTATCGTCGTTATGTTTGATCAACAACTGGTTTCCCACTTTACCCTCGTAACACAATTCAGCGGATCAGAGAGTATCCGAAGTCGGAACCACTGTTTCCCATCGAGCAGGCTCAGTAACAGCAGACGTGGCGAAGCACTGTGTTGTGGTTCCCTGACTGTGCGATCGGTTCATGTTATTGTGTTTGTTAATGGAATCAGTGTGTTAAGAGCGTATTTGCTAGAAGGATATTTTTAATACTGAGGAGACCTAGCATTGTAAATTGACAGAAAAGTATAACAGAATCAAAAACAAGTGTAGGCAAAATATTTTAACGATCTTTTTTTTCATATTAAAGAAATTAATTAGATAAATATAAATCGGCTCTGACGGGGACGCAGTCAGAAGATGCAAGATGCCGCACTGTTCGAAAAATCCTCAACTAAACAACTGGCAAACAGCCAATTTAGTAATGTACCCATTGCTAATGGTAAATCAAACGATCACTCAAGTGGTAATCATTCAATAAAAGCGGATATAGAGCTAACACATGAAAGTGGCAGTTGCAACAGTTTAGGCTTAAGCGAACATTTAAAAAGTAACAACATGAATTCAAGTGTCCATATGGTAGCAAATGACACAACGCAGACTGGAGCCACATCACATCATTCAGGTCCTATAACGTGGTCGGCTGCTTCAACTTCAGCATCGACACTAACACCAGAAGAAACATATGTTCATGGGATCACATCTTTGAATAGTGGTGCTGTAACATTTCAACAATTTTCTTCTCTCTCCATGAATTCAGCAACGGGAATATACAATTCAAATGTTGCTTTTCCACCAACCCAAGCAGCAATTTTGGCTCAGCATGGAAGGAGAGCCATTACAGGCCATAGTGGTGTTAATAATATCCCAAGACAGCAGACTAATCTTATGGTCAATACATGCAGTAATCCTAAAATATTGCCAAACTGGAATAATTCTCATCAAGCATCATGGTCTACTCAACCTTCACAAGCAACTCTCTACCCCCCTTGGAATGTACAACAACGGAGATCTGTGCCAAATATGAGTGCCCTTGCACCAGCTGTAGTGAAAAAGCAAACCATTCAACAGCAGTTACAACACTCATCCTTTATAGTGCCATCCAAATTTAGAAGAAGCACATCTTTTCCTGGTCAAATTCAGGCCTCTGTTGGTGTTAAGAATCCATATGATTTTACAACTTTTGATGATGTTGTGACTTATCAGGTAAAAATGTTATAATTTGTAGGCCTACTCATACCCATAGGTCTAATTATTGTAACTGTCAATTTGGCTAAACCAGAAATTTAAATTTCAATTGTTCAAAATGATTAATTTAATATAAAATTTAATGTTAAGTGGTGGCGATGGTACTATTATAGACTTATGAAGTGGCTATTCGTACCCAGGTACCAGAAGTGAGAGGTTGGGATTAAAAAATTATTTAAAATTTTATTGTTGGGTTTGTAAGACATAATGAGGTATCAAATGAAAGATAATTGAATGGACTATATGTTTTTTAAACTTAATCTTCAGTTTAACTAAAATAAACTACCACAAATGACATCCGAATAGCACTGAGTCAAAATGGACCCAGACACGCAGCGCCACCATGAGCACCCTGATACGATGTTGAGTTACAAAAAAAATAGCCAATATTTATTTCCCTACATTTTTTATAGTGCCATGAATCATATTTTTTCATATTGATTTGTTGGTTCCATTAACTCATTTTTGACCGCCTTTTCATTATCAACTCTTTTGAAATTAGACCCTTAAGCCTTTAAATGTTGCACTGTAGTAAAGACTTGTCATAAACATAACTTATTATAAAATATCTTGCCTTAATTAACTAAATTTATTTCATTTTTTGTTTGTATTTTATAGTTTAAATAAACGAAGTGTCTTCATGTCCAGCGACCGGACGAATAATTCTCGAGATATTTGTCCGGCGATCAGGTAACATGACCGCCGTAACAAAGTTGGGCGAGATATCTGTCCGTCAGCCTTGTCACGTGACCACTAATAGTCGATCATAAAACTGGCGTCGGAGATGTATGGGGGCCGACGAGTGTACACTTCATTTCAAGAAATAAGTGGGGAGGTGGGTTGTGGAGCAATGCATATTAGAAGGAAGAAATACTGAGAGCGAAAGAGAAAGGATAAATATAATAGTGGGGGTGATAAATAATTTAGGCGGGTATGTATGGGGGCCGACGAGTATACACTTCATTTCAAGAAATAAGTGGGGAGGTGGGTTGTGGAGCAATGCATATTAGAAGGAAGAAATACTGTGAGCGAAAGAGAAAGGATAAATATGATAGTGGGGGTGATAAATAATTAAGGCGGGGAGGTCGAAAGTTCACAAAGAAATAGACCCTACATCTTAAAGATGGCCAATATAGGGTAAATAGTGTACTGTAGAGGTAGCCTACTTCTCACGCAATATTTATAGCCTAAAATAAAACTTTTTTGACAGTAGATCTATTGAAAGTCAACTGGCAAGTATTGGTCTTATTTTCTTTGGTTCATATTTTAAATTTAGGCTATTAGGTAGAGCGTTATAAGATATTTAAACCAAGATAACAAGACTTTTTTTTTAAAAAATTTTGCCGACCACCTCTTGTCACATGCCATGTCTGCCGGAATAATAATATATACTAGTCATCTGGCGGTCATGGGACATGCCCGCCGGAAGAATATCTCCCGCACTATTTGTCCGGTCCTCGGACGTGTAGACACTGCCTTAAATAAATTGGTTGAAAATGTTTTTGTTTTTTTAACTTAAATTAAATGTATTGTTTTATTTAATATAGGTATATTTTGCAGTTTTTTCTATTTCATTAAGAGCATTTTTTATTCTTTTCTTTAAAGTAAATATATATTATTTTGGTTAATTCTATATTATCTTACTTAGACCATGTATGTTTACATTTGTTGTAAGACTTCCACTAGGAACCCAATCCTGTTAGTCCTCTCTTTAATTAAATAATCCTAATGTTTGAAACTTTAACATATTTGTTCATTAAGCCCAAGTTTAAGTAATATTTACATTATTTTTCTGTTCGCTTCTTAGACATTTTAGTTGCATTTTAGACATTCCATCATTTAAATAGTTAAAATTATAATTTTTCATTCTAAAAGCTGCTTGAATTTTTTTACCACAATTCATGTAATTATTTTTAAAGTCTGACAACTGTGCCACTCATAAAATTTTCTAAAACTGTATTTTTAAGTTAATTTATAAATAATACACTTGTTTTTTTATACTGTTTAAGTTAATGAATTAATTATTAATAAGGTTATATTAAATAATAAATAACGATTTGCATTTGGGTAATGAAAGGATATTACTTATTAGTTTTAAAAAATTACTACAGTGATGGTTAAAAAACAAATTATTTTTGTATGCCATTAGAATTCACTTGGCCCATATATTTCATTATCAGATAACATTTCTTCATTTCATTTTGTATACAGAAAATTATAAGAAATGCTGACATCATTTTAAATGCTCATCTTATCATAAAGCATAGCAACTTAAAAAATATTATTTCATTTAAAATAAATATATAAACTTAAGCTCTGTCCACGATACTTCAACCTTTTCAATTTTCCATCATAACATTTGCATTTTTTTTTCAGAATTCCTTACATTTGAAAATTAGCTTTCATTTATTGCAGATACTTATTAAGGTGCTTTAATATATTTTATGTGATCATTTTGAAATTCATTAAAGAAAATCCATTGTTTTTCCATTTATCAGAGCTCCTCGGGTCAATATGATTCAATGAAGTTCCCAACTCTGGAAAATCAGCTTCTGGATATAATGAAACATTCATCAATGGAAGGGATTCAAATGCGAGGAGATAATTTGAAAGGTATGAGTGTTCGGCTATCCATCCGAAAATAAATTATACATACCATCCCCCTGGTCCCAGTTAGTTCAGATAATGGAAGTTCTACTGTATTTATAATTTAGACATTAGCTGCTCATTATATTTTTTAAAAATATATTTCTATTGGGAAAAAAAATCTGAATGTTATATACTTAACATTAATTTTTTGAGTTGTCAACTGATATATGACAATTTTAAAGTCTGTATAGATTATCTAAGTATTGGAATAGTATCTATCAATATAAAAACTGCAAAACATAGAGAACAATATTTTGCTAACATTAGAAATTTTAAACCCTTTATTTCCTGTCAGACTTAAGATATCTAGTATTAAACAGATCTTAACTATTTTTTGTTTTACTGCAATATTTGGTGTGGCATTGAATTTATAGCCAATGCAAATTCCTATAGTATCACTATCAAGTAGGTGTCAGATTTATAGCATCATATCTCTTCTGCTTATTAGCTTAGAAGAAATTACTCTGATTGAGCACTTAAAAATCTGGCCCATAAGCTTGAAGGTAACCTCAAAGGTAACAATCGTGCACAATTCAGAAGGCAGAAAGAAAGCTCATAATATTTTTTTCAAACATTACTTTGATTTGCATGATTCTAAAGTTTAATTTTTACTCAGATTCAGAGTTGGATCATGTTTTAAAGGAGAAAGTTGATAGGAAGATGTGAGATCTTAGCATAATTGAGGAAAATAAATTAAACTTTATGTCCATCAGGGAAATTAACAAGGTTAAAAATAGTATCATTTTTATGAATGCACCTTGTTGTTGGGATTGAAAATCAATTGCTATAAGAAGCAGTTTATTTATTTGCTAATTTAAATTTTGTTTCAGCAAAAATGCCTTTTGTTATTGAGGATTCTTCAATTGATGACAGTTCACTTGATCAGACAGTGCCTAATTTAACAGGGACACCCAGATCTTCCCCCAGCTCTCAAGGTTTAGATCGGATAGAAAGATTTTCAAGAAAAGTTTTTGTGGGTGGACTACCACCAGACATTGATGAAGGTATTACTTCAAAACATATAGTTTTGATGCCTTTGTCAAATACTGATGTGTTGTTGAATAGATTTTCAGGGTATAATTTATTGTATACAAATTTCAAGTTTCTTAATTGAAAAAAAAATCCTTTAAATAGGATCTGATAACTCTGTTAATAAAATAATTAAAATGACTAATATTTTTTCAGAGGAAATAACGACAGCTTTCAGGAGATTTGGTGCCCTCGTTGTTGACTGGCCACACAAAGCAGAATCAAAGTCTTATTTTCCACCAAAAGGTTTAAACAAAATACTATTTAAACTCTTATTTTAAATGAATTTATTAATAATCAATTTCAACATGTTCAACGTTGCATTACATGGCTGCAATAGTAATAATTTTCTTTTCCTGGTATTAAGTTTCTTTAATTTTATTTGGCCTTTATCAAATAAATCTGGGTTGTTGTTTTTTCAGGCTATTGCTTCCTGATATTTCAAGATGAGTTGTCCGTGCAAAGTTTGATTGAATCATGTTTAATGGATGATGACAAATTGTACTGGTGTGTCTCAAGCCCTACTATGAAGGATAAACCGGTATTTGATAATTATATATTTGCATATTTTATTCCATACATAGCAGCTAGATAAATTTGTAAGTTATTTTTTACACTTTAATTACAATTTGTCAAATGCTGTATGATGCCAATATTAATTTTTTATGTTCTGCCATATCTCACATGTTATGGGGAATAAATAATGTTGGTTCCCATTAACCCATAAACCATATCTTATATGCCAGTCAGGGGTGCGATCCATATAACATCAATTTGCTGACTGTTTTTTCAGTGTGGCATAGAAATTTGGAAAATCAATCATTTTTCCCTCTTGCTCTCGCTTACACTGGAGCAGAGGGCAAATATTAGTGACATTTACATTAAAAGGGTCATGTAGGGTCATGTAACTCGCGAAACTAAGCTTTGACCTATCTGCAAGGTCAACTGCAAAAACCCAAAGTGACAAACCCTAAATAAGGGTTCAATCTAAACGTGAGTAAATACAGTATATATGGTGAAAAGTTCTTTGAAAAATCTGATCACATGCCAGTAAGTCATTTTACATATCATATCATATACATGTATATATAGAAGTGAAAATTTGTGGATTTGTTTTTTTGTTTCATTCACATATGTTTTTACATGGATTGGTGCATCCTGACCAAATTTGGCACACCTATCCACCATTATCCGGAAGGAACTTTAGGGGGCTTTTGAACTTTTTATAACATTCCGTTTGGGCCCCAAATTCGTTTTTTTTTTCTTAGATGAGCTTTATAAATAAAATTATTCACAAATACTCCTATATGAATGGAAGAATCTCGACCAAACTTAGTAAACATACACTTGATTATCCATATTCAATTGCTGAACAGTGCTGAACTCGTAATATCCACTCCTCTTGGCCCCATTTCATTTTTCCTTATATAAGCTATTTAAATATCAATTGGCTTAGACAACACTGTAGGTTCTACGTGAATTGATGTATATAGGCCTAGCTTTTTAGGTATACCCGTCATTGTCCGTATTGAAATATTTGTGGATTTAAAATGAATAATATCCAATCCATTCAGGGCCAATCTAGACTTTTCCAGAAATTTTGAAAATTTAAAAAAGCTATATCAAGAAGTGCATTTTTAAACTGAATTTCATGGGACAACTTTTAGATTTTAACTTATTTATCTGACTGATTTTTATAGGGCCCCCTATCTCATGCAAAACTGAATTGGTACAATTATGGGATGGGCCCCTCTTTCAACTTCAATGTACTATGGCATTGTATAAATAATTTTTATAGTAGTGCATTGTATAAATAATTTTTCTTATTCGAAAAATAATAATGTAGAAAAATTAATTTTTTACATGTTTCGAGAAGGATATTAAATTTAATCTAGAATGTTCCATAAAGTTCCATATTGTTCTAAGGGGACACATAATTGGATCTAAAAACTTATTGAAATGTTAGTTTAGTTCTATTCATTTCTATACTTCCATTGGGATCTTCTCTAAACATTCCCTTCATAATCCTACTGGAAAAAAAATCCAACTGGGAACATGAACCCACAGAGTAACAGGATCCTAAAGGGGAAAGAGAAAACTGGAACACATCACAATCCCATCAGGTAATGTGATCAAATCTGGATCCTATCGGCAAATTGGATCCAATAGAGAAATCCACTGAATTCAGGATCACACAGGGAAACAGGATTTCCACCTGGAATTGGGACCCCACAGGGATCGGGATTCTACTGGTATCAGTATCCCATTGGAATCCCACCAGGAAACGTGATCCCATCGGGGAACCCACCGTGATTGGGATCACACCAGGAAATCGGATCACACTAGGATCAGGATAAAACCGGGTTCAGGATCCCACAGGAAACGGGATCCTGACGAGATCGGGAAACCACAATGATCAGGATCATACAAGGATTAGGATCCCACCGGGATTGGGATTCGAAATGGGTCGGGATCCCTCTAGGAAACTGGTTACCATGGAAAACAGGATTCCATTGGGAAAGTGGATCTGGTTGGGATCTCTGCGGGATTGAAAGGTTTACGAAAATTATTATAAATGTGTTTTATAGGAGACAAATTAATTTTTATATTTTTTTCACTATGTCAGTGTTTTTTTGTTTTTTTTACATTGTGCTTAATTTTAATGTTAATTAAAAGGCTGTAGAAGTTATTGGTTTTCGAATGTAATCCCGGGCATATTGGCAAGTTATATATGCAGTAGAACCCAGTTATGTCGACGGCTTTGGGGTTTGCCAAAGAACATTGAGATAACCAATGATAGAGATAAACGAAAACCAATATTGCGGCAATATATTAACATGTGCTTGAAATTTCTTTACGTATACGATGTGCATTTATAAATAAGATGTACATGCACATGTGTTTGGAGTTGTTTTTGTTTACACAGCGTTACCGCGATTTGTTTGATGAAGTGATTGGCATGCTATAAAAATGTACATACATTTTGCTAACAACACAAGGCATATGTGGGGTGCCACTTTTCCAGATTATTCCGGATTCATGAGACTAAATATTTTTCAGCTCCGGATTCGCGACTACTTATTTTCTCTCGCTCTGGATTTGCCAGTTCATTTTATTCAAATACAGATTCTGTTTTTTTTTTTTTAAAAATCAACCTGTAAGAACATGTGAAAGCCTATTTTAAGTGACAAGCGGGTTCGCTATAAATAGAATAGGTACTGAGACCTTTGTTTGTAAGCCTCTCGCTCCTCGCTTCTTGCTGTGTCAAGTTAATTGCACGGACAAAAATATTGTCATTTCAATTACTACAATTTGAAATAGGCATGTTTCTGTTGTATATAATTTGCAAAAGCCAATGATTGGGCAGGGGGATCAAGATAACCGAGGTTAAGTGACAAATTTGGCCGCCTTTTGTGCTCCAGGTATCAGGGTTCGTCAACATAAAATAATCAACATAACCGAGGAGAAATTGCTAATACAAAGACTGTGATATGTTTTGACAGTACTAATGATATTCTAAAAAAATTATTCTTTCATTATATATAAAATTAAAATTGTTTCCATTTTTAAAAAAAACTTGATGCTGTAACTTACAATTTGAACCTAAAAATATAATAATCGTATTTATTTTTTTAGAGTTCTAATAACTAAACCTGAAACAATGACAAGGATCATTGAAATCCTTCACTGCTTCAGAGCTACAATAGTCTGCAGGTTTCATTGGAATGACAGCTATTATGCTTTTCTTTTGTCTTGTTTTAATAATTTGTATTATTGAATCATTTGATTTTGTATATTGTCTAATCATAATTAAAGCTTAAGATATATTGCTTTATTTACACTAATTATTTGGGTCTCATTAATCTACTTAAAAGCGTTTGGCCAGTCCGACCCTCTTATAATTAGTTAAATATTATTATAAAACATTTTAACACCTTTAACATGGATCTCATTGGGTGTTCCATGTAACAGTAGTGTGCTGCCAGTTAAGCTAGGTGTACCACAAAACTTCTGAGACATTATGATGCTACTGGTAAAAGTTATTAAAATAATTTAACGCAATTTTAAAAAAAAAAAGAACAAGAAAATAATATTCAAGAAATTTAACTTATTTTGTAATTTTATAGGGGATTTATTGGCTTACAGCTTGCAACAAAAGATATGAGTAATTAATGAGAAACTTGTGGTTTTTTAAGAACCGGTGAGTTAATCGCTGTAAGGAACTTTTCTCATTTCCCTTGCTTACTATTGCATCTATGCCACAAAATGGATAAAATGGCATTACAACTGCAAGCCAACAAACAACTCACTGGTGAAGGCAAGCATTTTTCTTGCTATACTGTGGCTCTGGCATTGTTGCAAACTTGTACGTTAGTCCCCTCTCTCTTTGTTGCCTACTTGTACGTTAGTTCCCTCTCACATTGTTAGCAACTCATAGGTTTGTGTGCTGTGGTGCTCACTAATAGGATAGCGTGGTGTGGGAAAAACACTGATCTTTAATAACTATATTACTGAATGCAAAAATAGTTGTAAATAAATTTAGCATATTCTTTTGATTTAATGATTTTGTTCAGGTATAATGCCACTATGTGATGATTTCACAACATGTCATATATACACTAAAAGTTCTTTGATCACTTTTAAATGCAACATTACAACTTTATTTTTTCAAGACACAATTATATAGGTACCAATGTATTTGTACCTCTTAATACTATTTTATATTTTTTTCAGGTCCAGATTCGCCCATGGAGCCTAAGTGACTCTGATTTTGTTATGGATGGTTCACAGCCATTAGATCCCCGGAAAACAATATTTGTTGGTGGAGTCCCACGGCCATTAAGAGCAGGTATTCATTATTCTGTTATGTGGTGCTTAAAAAGTAAATTTTTGTTTATATATAATCTCAAAGCCAGTCAGATAATTTTTAAAGTGATGATCACAGCTAAAATAAAACTCTTTACTAATTAAAATTAAATACAATAAAGTTTATTTTAATATAGTGATTAAAATTAACATGATTTTTAAAAATTAAAGGCAACCAATTATTTAATCATTCATTTATCCTCTTAGTGCTGTGGGGAATAGGTCATTAATGATTTCTACCCATTTTGCTGTGAGCGTTACTACCCTCAGACCTTAATTCTGCTATCTTCTCATGTTATTGGACCTCCCTTGCGCCCTGTTGGTATTTCCTCTAAAATGTTGGTGCATATGCCAATTAGCTTAGGTCCTTTTCTTGCTTCCTCTGGAATGAAGAGCAACACATTTATTGTGCGAGATTTCTATATTTGTTTATATCATGAATACACAGTGTGTTTACAGTGACTTATATTTTGCCTAAATGAGCTTTTCTAATTTTGACTGGTCTACTTCATACTCTGTGGATACCAATCTCAACTAGGCCGTAGTTTTATCTTTATTTATTCTGAAGGAAAATTATTATAGTATATTTCTTTCAGTGGAACTGGCTATGATAATGGATCGTTTGTATGGTGGTGTCTGCTATGCTGGCATAGACACGGACCCTGAGTTAAAATATCCGAAAGGTGCAGGCAGAGTTGCATTTTCCAACCAACAGAGTTACATTGCAGCAATTAGTGCTCGTTTTGTTCAACTCCAGCATGGTGACATTGACAAAAGGGTAAGTTATAATTTGTAATGATTGCAATTCCCCCCCCCCCCTTAAAATTGGTCCTGTTTTCTATGTCATACTTTATGACCATTTTTTGTTGTAGACTTTGCCATTCATGTCATCAAAGACAGTGGCCATTTCTTTGGGACTGGGTAGTATTGTCAGTATTAGCACACTTGTGCTCTAAAGTTCAGGTCCTGGCCAGAACCAATAAAATGACTAAACACCAGTCCTAAATATAATTTAAGAAATTTAATGCTGCAGAATATTGGATAGGTTATTATAGAAAATGCAAATTTTTACAAACAATTTATTGTTATATTGTGGCCATCATATTTTCGTAATCATACATATACATTCTTTCTTCAATCATACGTTAAAAAACAGCGAAACCAAATTTTTTAAATGTTAAAATGATAAGAGAAATTTGTTAATGGTCTGTTATAGTTAAAAAAACAAAATATATGGTGTCTTACAGGTGGAAGTCAAGCCATATGTATTAGATGATCAGATGTGTGATGAGTGCCACGGAGCACGTTGTGCGGGTAAATTTGCCCCTTTCTTCTGTGCCAACGTGACTTGTTTACAATACTATTGTGAATATTGTTGGGCGCAAATACACTCTCGTCCAGGAAGAGAATACCACAAGCCTTTGGTTAAAGAAGGAGCTGATCGTCCACGTGCTGTGCCATTCAGATGGTGTTAAGGATGTTGCTTCAAGGAACAGAAGCAAAATATTTATTGTATTTAATTATCTTAATTCTAATTCAGCTTCTAGTCATTATTTTTCTTCATTCAAATTTTTTTAGTTATGTTTTTTTGTAATTTTAAGAAATTTAAAATTATTTTTTTCAAATATTGTATTTATCAATTTATCCCCAATTAGAAAGTTAGTGTAGTACATTTTTGAAGTACATATATTGAGATAATCAACGAATTCTTAATTTCAGACACACTTCTTATAGTCTAAGTACAAAGTTCAGATCATATTTTTATAGCAAATTTTAATGCATATATTGATAAGTCCCTTTGTATAGTAACTTATATCAAATTTCCTTTAACAAATAGGGTTTGACAACTACAAAATTTTTAATGGGTATTGATGTGGATTTACTTTCATTCATATTTTTATAAACATAATTCACAACAGTTTAAATTTTAACATTTTATTTTAATTGTCTCCCTTTTGTCCCAGTTTCATTCAAGATTTATATTAATGCTTAAAAGAGTCTTAAAATGTTAAGAAAATGCTTTATAAAGAGCTTTACAACACTGGCTCTATGTAATAGCTTGGCAAAGCCAAATGTTGAAAAGTCAGTAATCTAAAAAATTACAGCTCTACAATAAATTGAATTTTAAACTCTGAATTCTAAATATTAACTTTCTAGTCGTTCTGTTCCTGTCACATTCAAATATTTTTTTGAGTGCATTATACAAATTTAAAATGAAAATATTTGTGTGATGTATTAGTAAAATATTTTTGTCAACCAGAAGAGGCACTTAACTGAAATAATCAATGACTTTATCATATCTGAGACCACATATATAGCCATAATTACAAGCTGTACTGAATAATGTTTCTTTATATGATTTGGATATGTGAGTACTTAAATAGGAGACTACAATGTGAAAGTTATTTGAAAATATAATCAGTATTAAAGAACAGTGTTAAATTTTAAAGACTACACATGTATTACATGGAATAAAAACAAAAATTGTTTAATGAAGTCAAAGGTCTAAACAACCCAAATATTATGTCCAGAATTCAGTATGTATTTATTATAACAATCAAATTTAAATGGATATAGGCTTATGCTTATGCAGCTTGCAAAATTTTATAAAAATAATAATATTATTTCAAACCTCAGCATATGGCCAAAGTATAATTTCATTATTAATATAAAAAAAAAAGTATAAAGACATAACAAGAACAAGTTTCTGACACAGTATTTGTGCTATGACATTAACAGTACATCTTTTTGTGGTCAATAAACAATATTAGGAGTTTGTAAAGCAACATTCAAAATTTTAGATACATAGTCTTCTTCCATTGACTAATTAGGTTTAAAAGAAATTTAGTAATTGCATGATGGGCTATAATTTACAACATTAAAATAACACAATACTCATATAATTGTACATTTGAAAACAAAAAAAAAATAAAAGCACTTTTCAAACAGTGTGATTATATTAAATTTGAAGCTTAAGGACCATTAAGTTTAACAAGGTTTTACAGTTTTCAAAATCTGTTTTGTTGTTAAAATTGTCTCTGTGAAAAGTATGTTTGTAGCATAATGTGATAGAGCAGTGTTTCCCAACCTGGGGACCACAAATAGTCCTATCATCATTCCCCACAAACAAGCATTTTTAAAATTTATTAAAATATACTCACTAACTGCTGCTGTTTTGATACTGTGTAACTTTTTGTAATGAAAAAAATGTATAGACATTTAAAAGTTACAGAAAATTTGAGTATTAACCACAAGTTTTGTTTTTTTAAATATTTCATCCATATAGCAAAGTAGAGCAGGGAAATATTTTGCCTCTTTGTTTTTGGGATCTTCAAAAGGTTGGGAAACACTGATAGAATAATTTTAATATGTTTTTTTAAAAATCATTTTTGGAACACGAATTTAAAAACACACATCCCTTAATTGTGATAACATTGCTCATTTTCAGTAAAAAAATTAGATTGAAGAATACAAAAAAAACCTATAGAACTATTGAATACCCTCTACTTTTTTATTGGAGTGAGAAAATATGATTAGAGTTAACATTTTACCAACTGATTTTAATCACTTTCTCATTTTAAATAATTGCAACATGAGTCAAAAAATATATTCAACAGCTGATGTTTTTTATTGGAATAAGAAAATACCTGCATTGTATTGTTTTATTCATAGAATTAAAAATATACTATTTTTGATCAAGATGCAGCAGGAACAATTTCTTTTCAGATGCATTTTAATGCTTATTTTCTTCTTCTCAAAAGCATTTCTGACCTCAAGTGTTCTTACATTACTTTTGTACTCATTCGTTTTCCCTTTTCTGCAGGGACTTTTCAAGAATACAATTTTTGTTTTTTCTTTTCTTTTTTAATAGTAATTTAATGAAAATTTGGCATTTACAATAACTGTAATCAACAAGTGTTGAGTGATATGTAGAAAATAGACTCAGTACCTTATTGCATGCAAATTATTTTTTGAATTATTTTTTGGTAATTGTATTTCATAACTGTGATGTTTCACCAAAACATTCTATGGGTAGAATTGTACATAGATAATATACATATATTATATATTTATATCTAACTATTTTATAATCTTCAAATTTCCCCAAGTTTTCATTCAGCATATTTTTGTCTCAATATTTCATTACCCAAAGTCCATTTAGAAAAGCATTCCATTATTTATTCTTTGCAATAATGCTGCAAAATTTTAACTTATTGTTTCTTTACACAGTTTTTTTTTAATATAAAGCTTGTTCTTTTTTCTTTTTTAAGTTTTGTCATTTCATTTGAAGGATAAGATAACTTCACTTTCATTGTATCATATTAATGGTGCCTAAAGAATATAAATATTCTGCAAGTCTTAAAATGCATAACGCATTTACAAGTTAACTAAAGACTTTATTATTAAGAAAAATAAATAGGATTTTATTTTATTTTTAAAATATTTATTGATTCACTTTGACAATTTTTTCTAATTAAAGGCACATTTATCAACTTTTCTAGTTATAAAATAAAAGTTCCAGAATATTTGAATCTCTTTGTGTCTAGTCAGCTTTACTTACTCACTTGACCATTACATTGGTATTACCATAATTTTTTATTTTTTTTTCAACTATTATCTTTTAAATTCAATATAACCTACAGAAGTTTGAAATGGTATTGAAAAGTATACTAGAGGAGTAGTGCTTTCAAATTTTTAAGACATCTGTTTTTCTTTCTATTTTTGGTGCATGTTTATTGTTCATTGTTCTGATGTTGAGGTTTTTAAATATTTGCATGTTTAATAATACAAATTTCACTATTTTTTTAGAATTACATTAATTTAAATTTGTTAATTTTAAGAAGTTTGTATTAGTACAATAACCTACTCCATGTTGATTGCCATGCTTCCAATTGTAATTAATGCTTCTAAATATGTACTGTCAAAAAAAATCTCAATTGGACAGCACATTTTGTTAGAAGCAGCTTTTGAAATTTGATGCATGTTTCATTTTTAAGCTTGTTTTTAAGCTATATTTTTTATGAGAACATTGTTTTATAATTATATTTATAAAAATATTTTTATTTATTTATTTATTGAGCTCATGGCTGTCTTAAAATTACCAAGTACACTTTAAACAAAATTAATTTGTTCATTTAGAAAATTTTAAATATGGTTCTTGATTATAAAGCTTCACATTTTAAAAAAATTGTAAGTGCTACATGTAAGAAAAAAGTTTAAGAAAACCGTTCTTACAAAATTTTATCACGTTACTGTGATTCTCACTTTTCATTATTAATTATGTTGACTTTTCAGGTTATCCTTTACATTAGTAAATAAATTTCTCGCCTTTCAGTAGCATTCTTTTGGAAGTGTGTCACTGCAAATTTTCCTATAAAGTGGCTCAGCTTTTCAAGCTATACTGAATATTTAAAAAAAAAAAAGATCTACATATATCAGTCATTAATTCAAGTATTGAAGAAATAATGTTAAAAGTAAAAGAACCAAAAACATTTGTGTGAACATTGGTTCATTTTAATGCTGCTGTGAAACTTTCTTCCTAACTTAAACTAAAATGCTGTTGTGACATTTAAGAGTAAAATATAATTTATTAAAACGATTATATATTTTTGTGTTTACATCTACTTAGTTATACTAATTTAAACTTATAACTCTAGATAAACAAATAAATGTGATGTTTTAATGATCACTGGAGTAGTTTTTTGTTTTTATTTTTTTAGTTATGTTGTAGAACCTTTTCTCCTTAAACAATTTTTTTTTCTTTAAATGATTCTTTAAATAAGGTGAGGGGCAATTCACTGATGAATTTGTCTCTTTTCCCCTTAGTGCTAAAATTATTTTACATGCATTATTTATTTAGTTTTTAGTTGTCTTTTTTCTTATAAAAAAATAGTCGGTTTGTTTTTATTTTTTAATGGATTATTTTAGAAACTCAATAAATATATAGTTGTAAATAATGGTTTATTATTTAAATATAATTCTGTGGAAAGCATATTTTTAGTATGTATTTTTTCTTATTGTTTTTTATTTTATTTCATAAACTCATAGAATTTTGAAAATCAAATTTAAAGCAGTGCCTTTTTCTTTTAATCACTTGATGATATGGTATATTTACTTTCAATTAAATGTTTTTAATAAAAGCTAAATCAAGGTTGAGATCTGGCTCTTATATGATGTGTAGTAGTGACAATTTGTTGTCTGACAATTTTGCCATTTCAGAATAGTTTTAATAATTTAAGTATCTTTAGCAAAGTTATTAAAAGTTAACATGCATTGTTGCATGAAGTTTTCTATTTTCCACCTGACATATTTAATAAACTGAACAAATGAATATGCTAAGATAAGAAAACTTAATATTTTGTGTAATGATGCTAAACTTTTTTTCAAAGTTAAATATTACCAGAAACATTTATCAAATGGACAATGCTCATTTCAGCAGTCCAATTATATGAAAGCATTACAAAAAAACTGTGATTTTGTAACGACAGCAAATTTTTTAAAACAAAGTTAACAATTGGGATCTATAAATTCCCAAATCCCTCATAGTTTTGAATAAGAATAAATCTGTTTCTATTTAGATTGGTTGATATATGGTGAATGATGCCTTGCTAGTTTGTTAACAAAAAATAATTGTAAGGAAGTTAAAAAGTAATGACTGATACTGTCCCAAATATATATATTTTTAAAATATAAACTTTATTGATACTTCTAGTCATTCTTCAAGTGATTTAATGATGTGTTCAGATATTTGACAAAAAATAATGAAATATATTTTATAGTTTTTATTATTTACCAAACCTATGATTAATAATAGACATTTTAGCTGATGCTTTAAATTTTTTTTTTAAATTTAAAGATGAATCAATACTTCCATAGTCATGCTCACAAAACTATTGAAACTACCTTTGCACAAGCCAGATATGTTGAAAACACATCAAATTTAATTAATTTTTTTTTTTAAATACCATGAAAATTTATTTAATATCTTTAAAAAAAATTAATGGTTTTCAGATATTCATGATAATATATTGATATAAACTTATGGAGAGGAGTTTAATAATTTTAATTTTTTTTTTTTCATTAAGATTTTAAAAAAAAAACCTATCTTCAAACATTAAAAAGAAACTTACCAAAAATACCTTTTCCAGGAGATTGATCAAGTTGAATCAGGTAGTATTTTAATAAATACTTCCAAAATTACTATTTTTAGAAACTTTTTGAAATTCATGTTTTCCCTATTCAAACTTTACCTATTTTCTGTATGGAATTGTTGTTAATATTTGTATATTCCCCCCCACCCCCACCCTCCTTTTCAATTCAATGTACTGGCATGGCAGCTATCACATTTTGAGAAGATTAAAAAAAAAATTTGTCTAATCTTATTTGCATTTCTAAAAAAATGTATATAGAATTATTACATTTTTGCAATAGATTTCAGTATAAAAAGTATCTGCATATAATGGGCCAATATATATTTAAAAATTTGTTTTGATGGTGGCATTAGGTCACATTATTTAAATTACTGTAGTAAACTCTTCTTAACTATTAAAATAATACTGCAACAAGATAATTTTAAGTAATTTGAAAAATTTAGAAATAATTTAGGAAAAGTAACAAATAATGAACATATTGCTTTATTCATTCATTGATGGTCTAAAAATAACATACAGTAAGTATACATATATAGAAAGAAGAGTTAGGTTAAAAAAATTCTACTTCGATTTTTATAACCCCATCAGTTAAGCATACAATTTTTAGTGTATTGGTACAGAGTAATTAACTGATATTCGTGATATTGTCTTTAGTTTTTAACTATATGATTTTTGTATTCTCATAAATATGTTTCTGACTTATACTGTGTTATATATGAAATTATGTATGCTAAATTCTGCAGATGCAGATTTACATTCTCCTTTTATCACCCAAATCATATCTTTGTTGTGTTGAAAGTCATCAAATAAGTTGTTATTAGAAGTTAATTTAACCATACTGAATATCTTGTTACAATATACTTTAATATATTGTTTTCTTTTCCAAGTTGAGTTGGATATTTCTTTTGGTTTAATATATGAATGTAAACATTTTATGACCGTTATAACATTAACAAAAAATTAGTAATTTTGGAATTAAAAAATTAGTAATATGAACATTTAAAATATATATATATTTCATTTCAAAGATATTTGATGTAAAATATTTTCATCCATTTGATTTAATTAAAGTTAAGTACATCTTTTTCAACCAGATGTAGCATTAATTAAGATGCATGTAGTTAACTAACTTTAACCTTGTGCACAGGGCAACACCAAACTCTCATTGCCAATTATTGCTAGAAAATGATCATATTTATATGTTGTATTGTAACACTGTGGTTATCTGTGTGGACACTGTTGTTTGTTCATTTTAATGGGAATATATCTAAAAATTAATTTTTTAGATTTCATTTATGTCAGATAGGTTAATCGTGTTCTAATGCTCTTAAATGATTACAATTTAAAAGTTGTGTTGTTTCACTTTTAATGTCACTAGGTTAGCAAACAAAGCCCTGTGATTTTATTATTTATATATTTATATATAATTAATTTGTTTTATTTTTCTATCAACCATTAACAAATGAGATTCAAAGTGTCAACAGTAAGGTTGCAGATATGGAAGAAATATGTAGTTTCTTTATTTTCTTTATAAGTTCTTATCATGCTTTATGGAGCTTCATACTGAATTTGAGCTTTGAGGATTATTTGTGTACTTTTTTTTTTGTTTGTTGAAAACTCTCTTTAAATATGAATGATAATTTTGTTTAAATATCCTAATCAGAGGCAAATAACTAAGATTAATTGAAACTTGAATTTTAAAATATGTTGATTAAAAAAGTTTTGTTCACAACATACTCTGTAGCAACACTGACTGAAACTTAAATTTATCTCATATTATAGTTTTAATTTTGAACTTTATGTGACCATTTCTTAAAAGGGAAAAAATAAAATTTCATTTGAGCTCCCCTCTAACAAAATCAAATTAATGTTTATAATTGAACAGAAAATGGGTAATGATCATTATAGATTTCATTTCTTTAAAAAATGTATTAGCAAGGAACAAAAATTAAATATACTTGGAGTCTAAAATTATATATTTGTGTCTGGAATACTAAACATAAATATAGGTACAGATTCTAGATTTTAATTAGCTGAATCACACTAAATTACAGAATGAATGAAGGGGCTAACAATTTTAGGAAAATAATATAAAAAATTTTAGCTTATAGTGTTGAAAATGTGGTCCTAATAATGCTATTTATCTTCTTTTTTTTAAACTGGCTCTGATGGCATCATTTAAATTTATAATTCTTTCTTTTCATCACTGTTGTGAAACCTTGTGTATTCTTAAGTAACTAGCACAAATTTAGATTTTAGCAGTAGATATGGTTTTAAAATATTGTTCTACATATTTTGCTTGAACTTTTACTATTTACCAATTACTGTATAAGTTTGCCTTTTTTTTTTAAAAACTATATATTAATTACCGGTATATTATAGAATAGCAAAGCTATTGTCGAAGTTCAGACTGTTGAAATGATTTTGATCAACACTTCCCAAAGAATTCCTTATCAACAAATATTACAGCTATAAATAAAAATTAGAAAATACAATTTTTTTCCCTGAATTTTTTTAACCTGTCAAGTTTAGATGAATTGAATTTTTTTTTTAATTACCAAGTTTATGATCATATATGACTTTATTACTTGGCAATCGGAAAATTTCATTTCCTGTTTATTTTTTTTTTTATGTATCTTCCATTTTGTGCCAGTAAAAGGCAGGAAGGGAGTTGAAATAATTTTAATATTCCCAGAAGTAAATAAATGTGTAGTATATCTCTCACAATAAAAAATGATATTTTTACAAACTGCATATTTCAAAATGCAGTTAGATAAATATATAAAGTATTTTTTAAAATATTATTTTACTATTTTAAGTACAGTATTATCTTTTCTACTCTTGTCGGTAATTTTTTAATCATCTTTCCATTTATCCTGGATCAATCTATGTAGATGGATTGACTCATTTTAGATATATTACAATTCATAGTTGTATTGTATTTTTAAAACTTTTTTCCAAGCTTTCCAAAGCCCACATCCCCAATTTTGAGAGATATTTGTTTTAACAATGTAACCAGTTTTAATAGCCATATTAAGCTTTTGTATGGGATTTTTTCCTTGCTGCTAATAGTTTTCTTCAATTTAAAACAATGATTTTTCTTCCTTAACTTGCATTAATGTTAATTTTTATAATTGATATTGTGGTGTCTTGTGGGTTATTAATTTATAGTTTTGTATGTTCTGCTTAATAAATAAAAGTTTTCAATATTTTCAAAGGTTTGTTGTTTTTTTGTTTTTTATATGTAGTAGTATGTAGTAATACTTTGACATGTTTATCAATTTCAGATTTAGTGGACCAGACTAAAATTCTTGTTTATTTTATTAACAAAATAGGCATAATTTTGTAGAGAGAAACTATCTAGATGAGCACAATATAAATGAAGCCTGAAAACACAAATTAAACCTACGTTTAGGTAGGTAAGTTTAATCATCTAAAATATATAGTTTCATCACAATGGCAAACATAAAAATATGGTCAGTTTTCATAGTTATGAACAATAATCCTGTTTAATTTGTTATATTTTACATAATGTTTAAAAAGAAATAGGATAACATTATTCCTCTCCCATAGGTAAATATAATTATATTTAAAAAATGTACAATGAACAAGTTAACTATTCTAAGATTGATTGGTATTACTTTGTTACAGAAATGTGTGAGTGTAAATAAAAAAATACATTTAAATTGAAAACAAAATTTAATTCTTTAGTGCAATATCAATGTTTATTGTTTCTTTAGAGTGTTTTATTTAGATTTTAAAAACGGTAATGTTCATGCAAAAATCAATTCCTCTCAGCAGTTGAGAAAAATTAGTTGTCTTTAATTTGAATATAGAAATTATTAACCAAGCATTGCAATTATTACTATGCCTCCCATAAATAAAATTAATAAGATAACTGGAGTCAAGAATCCCCACACAGGCCAAAGGCTCATGGACATGCTGTAAAAGATGCACAAAAAGAATTGATTTTCATCAATAAAAATGGTATAAAATTATTTTCAAAAGAATTAAACTGCATTAGTGGACAAAAACATTCTTAATATCCCATTATTAAGAGGTATATTGACATTCTTTAAGACAAATCCAATGTGTACAATATCTATTCAAAATAAATGCATGAGATTTTTTCTTCTGAAAGTTAATAACACACTTTTCTAATATTTTCTTGAATCTTTACCTAAAATCTTATAATTAGATTTATATAGGTTAAAACTTTTTAAAAAACTGTCCTCAAAAGAAAGAGTAATCCAATTACAAGGTACTAAGTTTTTTTCAACATTTTAGGTTTTTACTCTGGGCAACTGTAGCTCAGGTGCTAAGACTAAAGCTATTTTTGCATAGTCTGTTGATTTTCAGCCTTTTTAGCCTTTTTGTGTTAGGGATCTAATACGAACAATTAGTTTATTTAACCCAGGCCTGCATAACTCAAAATATATGGTGGGCCGTAATACTTTATGAAAAACTTGTGCGGGCAGAAAGAAAATAGGATGGGGGGAAAGCTATTAAGAAAATGATAATAATACTGAATATTTCGTTACTTCGCGAGCCGCAAAGTGAGTGCTGGCAACCTGCAGTGAATATGTTGTGCAGGCCTGATCTAACACATTCAATAAGGGAGTACCAAAAATAAAATTTATATATGTGCAACAAATTTTAAAACAGAAGTGACTCTTCTGTAAAAACAAAAGTATTGTTCCAGTGCTTCCTTTTCAATTTCAGATGCCTAAGACTGTTTTCAAATCATTTAAAAATTATGTAACTAAAATTTTTATTTTGGGATTTTAACTGAATAAAGCAGCATGGATACATCCTCCCTAGTAACTTACCCAGAGATGGAAACATGAGAAGGAAGTTAAATGAACATAAAAATCCAATACATTTTTATGCCCTCTGAAAACTTAATGATCAATATTTGTCTTTTAGTTTAAATGTTATGCATGACATATTATTGTGAATTTATTCCCTTATGATCTCAATACATTTTTAAAAATTTCCCCTCCAACTCTTCACATCAAACCCAGAACCCATTCATATATCTCTTACTTTTTCACTTTAATAAAATTTACCATATTGTGATTAAGGCAGCTCATGAAAAGCCCTTCCTTTAATTAAGTGTGGAGCAATTTAAAAAAACTATTATTTTTTTTTGTTGAAAATCCAAATTGTATGCAGCATACTAAATATAAAAGTTAAAATAAGGAGAAAAAGATACAGCCTATACTTGGGGAAATGCATCTGATAAAATAAGGCTTTGTTCCAGCAAAAAATGTATGAGTCACAATTTTAATTTACAAGTATCATTACTAGTTTGTTTATTCTAATCTTACCCAGCTAAATAAACTTCACATAGGTTGAAAATAGACTGTTAAGCCGTGTTACAGTCTTTAGTATACTTTTTTTTCAAAATACAAATGTTTTACAGAAAATTAAAAATCTCTGATTTTTCAAAATTGTAATACCTTGTCCTAATTTAATTAAATCTGATTATAATATTTCATTTAAGATTGCTGAACTGATAACAAAGCCCTTATTAATTGGCCAGGAATTATTTTGTTTGTTATTATACTAGGCCTATAAAGGAAAATTATGACTACACATTTCTAAAAAAATGTTTTTGACAAAATTTAAAGATGTTTATGTTAATCCAAAATTTTAGCATAATTGCTAATTTTTAATAACAAAAACTGGATTTATGGTAACAAAAACATTTAACTTTTTTAAAGCATTTTTTTTATTTAAAAAGGCAAAACTTAAATATAAAATTTCTTCAACCCTTCTCACTACATGCTTACAATTTATAAATAAATGGTAAATCTCAACCAATGTTACAAAATATTCTTAATTTACCTATCACTTATACTGTGCAATCCCTATATTCTAATATATTTAGCAAAAGATAAAGAATCTCAAAATGAGATAAATTTTTACCATAAAATTCCAATAAGAAATGCTGCAGTTGCTACTGGATATGCCTTTGGATATCTCCTTTCTAATTCATCAGAACTGACTTTTTTCCAAATGCTTTGCCAAAAAACAAGGAATAAAGCGATTCCTACATGAACACCAAAAGATAAAAAACCACACCAAAACCATGAACTGTGGGGGAAAAAAATACATAAATACATTTTATTTGACATTATCAGATACATTATTGTATAGGAATTTATATGATTAGATACATATTAAATAAGACAACATTCTATGTAAATTGGGTTCTAAGCTACTGCATTCCCAGGGATGGATTCAGTGTGAGTACAATCTGTTGAAATTTCATTTTAATTCATTGTTTATCTAGTATTGCTTTTAGCAGAAGCTAGTATCATCCATTCTCAGATTTGGATGGAGCACATATGACAATCTCACACAATGATTGTTATCTACCAATTTATTTTTGTAACATTTTTAGCATATATTAAGATATTTTTTTTTTTAATGTTAAAAAAGAGATAATAATTCTCAAATTTTTTTTATTAAAAAAATTAAGCGATTATTTAATTCTCTAGATAACATTAGTGATTTCTTCATTTGCTTACTTATTATTTCTGAAAAGATGAAACTGATTTATTCTAAACTCTTCACATGGGCTTATAAATGGCTTGGTACAAGGTGATGAGAATACAATCACTTTATTTATCGACATGACCAAGTTAAGTAATCGGTGCACCCAAACTATTTAAGGAATAATATGATTACTATGTATGTATATGTATATACTTTGTAAAAATAATGTTTTTGGCATCCCAAATTTAGGTGACCAAGGCCTTTGCCCCTATTTCCTCAGTTTTTCACAGAAATGTTTAGGGATTATTTAAATATATGTTTCAATTTAACATTCTGAGAATTGTTCAAATGTATGTGCTAATTTTTTTTAAAGCTAGCTATATGATTTTAATTAGCCTTTTTATGACAAACAAAAAAATGATCAGTTTACCTTTTTATGCGTTGATCAAATAAAATTACATTTAAAAAGTCACTGAAATAAAAAACTGTTGCAGCTACTCCAAGCCAAAGAAAATTTTGAATGCAATAAGGTGACTGTTTTGGTTTCTCTTCACTATTAGAATTATTGACATTGAAATTAGTATCTGAAGAATAAAAAAAGATGCATGATCACAAAAAAGTATAATTATACAGTTATTTTAAAACTTTTATAAACAGACTCTAAAAGCTAACTTGTAAAGCTCTTTTACATGCTTAAAAAGTGATGCCTGGAGCAGACCATTTAAAAGACGATTTAAGCGCCCCTTGTCTTTGTGAACTACATGTTATTTTATAATTTAGTTCACTATTAATGTCCTATCTAAGGACGATTTTGGTGCACCTTGATGATGGTGCCTGGGGCAAGTGCCCCCTTAGCCCGCCCTTTCACATGGCCCTATAGACATAGTCTATAGTCATAGTCTTATAAGAATATTGGGTATATGTCATTTCATTCATGTGTGAACATATTAGCATATCATATGCATCAGAAAATTTAAAAAATCAAGAAAATAAGACCGTATTCAGTCAAGATGATTCACTGATTCACAGAGTGATTTACAACCAAGCTTGAAAAATGTATAATTCATTATTAAAACTTTGATTAGGACTAGAACCCAAGTCTATAACTAAATCATTAAAAAAAAGTCATCCACCACTTCAGCATCGTTAATTAAAAAAATGTGTTGTTCCAGTTTGGGGTGCTATTTAAATGGTTATTCTTTTATTGATGTCTGTTAATAGTATATTGATGTCTGTTAATAGTATAGTGAAGTGGACACTGGGTTTTTGGTGGCATAGAAAGAGAGAGTGGGCTTTGTTTTCTCGTTGAAGTACTAGAATGACAAACTATCACATTACAGGTGAGAGATTTATCCTTCCAGGCTCACTTACTGTACCAGAGGGATGGGCAGCATATACAAACATAAACCAGATCAGACACAAAATCTACAAACACTCCATTGTTGTTAAACAACAAAATTTTTTCAATCAAAATGATGCTGGCGTCTACACACAACTGTGGATGTAGGCAAAGTGCAAACTGAAAAGATAGTTTGGCACAAGCCACAATATATTTGCATGAGTTCATGTCCTCCAATCATTTTCGTGGAGATGATATAAACTCAAACTCTGTTTTCTTTTCAAGGGCTCTCAATAAATGATGTCACATGTCCAGGGGGTCACATTTTTGGGACAATGTGTGACAAAGGGGGTGGGAGGCGTTTAAGTAATGTGATGTCACTTTACAAGCTGAACATTATTGGAAAAAAAATTGCACTTAATAACACTAAATTACAGACACTTTTAACTTTATTCTTTTATACAATAATTATAACTATTTTATTTTAAAACAATGATTCCTGAGAGAATTGGTACAGGCATGTAAGGTCCAAAAAATGGCCTCTGATCAAGTTATAGAATGTCATGGAGGAGGAGATTGGGATGTAATGACATTGACAGTTGTGAGATTTTATGTCTAAATTTAGAGACATGAGTCATAGAACTAGGGATACCCTGTAAATTCAGATGAAACTAAACATGGTTGACCAGGGGCGGGGGTGATCTTAGTAAATATTATAGGGCAGAGATTTTCAGCATAAATTACATGGTAACAAAAATTTTAAAATGATAATGATTAAATAATTTAATTATTGACGTTTTATTTCTTTAATTAACTTTCTAGAAACAATATAAATATTACGATTATAAGTAATGCTCAAACTAAATGGCCGGAAATACAAGTTTATGGGTTTTTGGCACCTCGGGGGTGCTTTGACCCCTGACTGGGAAATATTTACGACACAGGTGCAGTTATTCAATATCCATTGGAGGTGTATTTTTTAAGGGTTTATAAAGGACAGTAGTGTAAAGATGGATTTTTAATAGAGGGGGCGGAGAGATTTGTGATATTATTTTTGAGGGGGTGTCTAAATTTTTGTGATGATGGGGAGAGAGGGGATGAATCTGCAAAATTTGAGTGACATCATTTATGGATGGCCCTTCATACATTAAATTGTTTAAATTTTTCTATTTTTAAATTTTTGTCTTTTATTTTTATGCATGTGATGAAATGAATATTTAATGCTTCATAAAAAATATTTCCATTTATTAGGATCAATAAAAGAAATGTATCTTATCAATATCTAATAAATCATACATTAACTTTTAAAGGTTTAAATAGCTCTTCCTGCTCATCAGTACTACTGGAACAACATGATTTTTTTCATAACTGAAGCTCAAGAAGTGGTAGATTACCAGACAAAAAAAAAAAATCAGAACTGTGAGGGTGATTCATCATCACTGATGACTATTATGTTGTAATTAATTATGTTCATAATAGTATAGCCACAATCACAATAGTGACTCGGGTGGGACGACAGTAACTCAGAAGACTCAGTGGACGTACTGACAGTAGTAACTGGTAACTAATCAACTCCATTATTACTTTTAATTATTGATAATAACAAAAGAGAATCCCATTATTCATAAATAAAAGTTTTTAAAAATTGATTTCTAGCACTTTCCACATATATACCATTGTGAACTGAGTAGTGATCCGCAAAAGTTTGTTGAACATGACGTCTAAAAACATCCCTTTCTGTTTCTGGCACCGCCATCTTGACGCTTCGCTAAGTAACTATACAAACCAGGGCTGAAACTCACTTTTTTAGAATTTCCCAAGATTTGGTCATGAAATTTCCCAAGATTTCCCAATATTTCCCAAGATCATAAAAGTATATAGGAGTTTTTTAAAAAAGGTGTGTGTGGGGGT